TTCTAAGTTAGAGAGCATGTCTCTCTCTGGGAATCAGTTGAGGAGTATTCCAGATAGCATCGGGAAACTTTCTAAGTTAGAGAGCATGTCTCTCTTTGGGAATCAGTTGAGGAGTATTCCAGATAGCATCAGGCAACTTTCTAAGTTAGAGAGCATAGATCTTTCTAGTAATCAATTTGGAATAGGATTTCCTAAATGGCGTCAATTACCAAAGATAATAAAAATGGTTGGTCTCTCTAATGCTAGCATCTCAGGTCCTCTTCCAGAAAACATAGGTCATATGATGCCAATGTTGGAGAGCCTATATCTTGAAAACAACCTCATGAATGGTTCAATTCCAAAGTCACTATGCAATTTAAAATATTTGAAAACACTTGATCTCTCAAACAATATGTTATCTGGAAATATTCCAAAGTCGCTATGCAATTCAGAATCTTTGGGATATCTTGATCTCTCAAATAATATGTTATCTGGAAGTATTCCTAATTGTTGGAGAAATGATCAATCGTTCATTTTTATTGATCTATCGTCTAACAATCTCTCGGGTTTATTTCCGAGTAAAATGGTGCAGCTTTCTTCTTTAAGTGTACTGCACTTGAACAACAATAGTCTACATAAGGGACTACATGTGGCATTGAAAATTTTCGCTTCTTTAGTGGTTTTGGATTTGGGTGAAAATAAATTTTCTGGAAATTTAACAAGCATGGTAGGAGGGGAGATCAGCAACCACTCTTTAAAGGTTCTCCGACTGCGAAAAAATTTGGTTTCCGGTTATATTCCTTTGGAACTATGCTCTCTTTCTCAAATGCAAATTCTGGATCTTGCAGATAACAATTTGATAGGAAGGATTCCTCCTTGTTTTGGAAAGTTTCCGATTATGGTGAACGCAACACAATTGATCTATGACATAGTTAGTGAATATTGGTATGAGGCACCTTTGATGGAGGTTGTGAAAGGGAGATACCTTGAGTATAAAAGAAAAACTCTGAGACTCGAGATTAATATAGATCTTTCAAGTAACAATCTAATAGGATCTATACCAGAGGAGCTAACATTCCTCAAGGATTTGCACAATTTGAATCTGTCTTGGAATCATCTCTCAGGAAAGATCCCTGAGAAAATTGGACAAATGGAAAATTTGGAATCTCTTGATTTCTCCAAGAATGGCCTTTCAGGAATGATCCCAAACAGCATGTCAAGTTTAACCAAGTTAAGCTACCTCAACTTGTCCTACAACAACTTATCAGGGCCAATTCCAACAGGCTATCAGCTCCAAACACTCGAAGATCCAACCATGTATGTTGGCAATCCTCAACTCTGTGGAGCTCCACTCTTGAACAAATGCTCAAATGATACACTACCTCCGACAACTGCCAACTTCAAGGACAATGATGAAAGTGCACTTAAAAGAATGTGGTTTTACATTGTCATGTTGTTAGGCTTTGCAACTGGATTCTGGGGAGTCGTGGGAACTTTGATTTTTGTAAAAAATTGGAGATATGCTTATTTTCAATGGATGGATGATGTCCAACACTGGATACTTGGGATTATAACATTGAAGGTGGCACAATTCAAGAAGATGTTCAATGGCAACCAAGATGATCAGTGAGTTGTATATGGAGGATGTTGTTGTTGCTACATTTATTATTAAGTTAGTTGGACAACCCTATGTTGCAAGGTATAGTGTCAAGTCCAACTTTGAATGGCCCAACATTGAATTGGTCAATTTTAAATGAACACATATGTATTAGAGTTTGTAAAGTCTTCAATAATATAACATAGGCTGTAGTTCTATAGCTTTTACAAAAATAAAAATTCATAAATTTCCATAGAAAATAAAGAATTCTATGCAAGGCTTAAAGATTAAATGGATTTCTATCTTTTCAGTTTTGTTAAAAAGAGAAAGAAAGAAAAAAAAAAGCAGGAGATGAAAGAATGAGATAGGAAGAATGGCTCAACTGAGTATACAATAATAGCCAAAATAAAGTTCTCACATATTCATGTCAAAGTTTGGAACTTTCAATCACTCACAATCAAATTGCTCAATTGAGTATCCAATATAATTCAACTCTTACATAAAATTCCCAAGTCTTTGGTATTTCCTAAAACACATTTTCGCATTGCATAAGGCATATGAACTACAAACTCATAAAACACTATCAAGGCGAAATAGTGAAGTCCGTTGGTTATATGTTAGTTTAACCCTGAATAGCAAACTAATTCCTGCAACTAAAAATGAAACACAATTATTCATTTGTTGTTTTTAATTTTATGCCAACACTCTTGATATATAAGAGGCCTAAAGGTCAAAGCAAACATGTAAAAGAACCTGGATAAACTTCAAGAATAGAAAGAATATCCACAATATGATAACGATTAATACCCCCAACTGTAGCCTCAGTATTTAGTGTTGCCTTTCTCCCAACAAACCTTCTTTGGATAAAGCCACTAAAATAGAGAGTATCTAAGTGAGAAAAATATATAGATAATTTTGATCTTTTTCATTTGGAAAATGATGTTTGTATATTTTTGTAATACAAAAATAAAATATAAGGGTGGTATTTTTGTGGCCAAACCTTGAGTCTTCTTTATCTTGCACACTCATGAAGGTGTATATGCCACCACAATAGCTATGAAATGACTAATATGTTTTCAAACTACAAAATGAATTATATTAAGAAAATTATGTAACTAAAGCTGCAAGAAACTTGTGAGATAAGATTGTAGGTCCCCATCATGTACATGATAACATAATATATGTATAGCCAAATTATATAGCAAATCCTACTACTTAAACAACTCTCACTTCATATTTTTATTTCCATTCCCATCTGTACTATTTATAGAAGAGTTTGAGATTTTAAGTTCAAAAACCTTAAATTCAAATTTTTGAAACAAACCATGAGGGTAAAAAGAGATTAAAAAAATGAAAAATAATTATCCCTTTTTATGTTAAAAGGGAAGAAGAAGAAGAAGAAGAAAATTGAAGGGGCTAAAAAGATAAATACAATTTATTGAAGAAATTTAAAGAAAATGAAATGAACTCACAACATCTAGCCAATTGGTTAATGCAAAGTTAGTGAAGTGGAAGAAGAAGACTCATACCCTAAACTAAAATATGAAAAATTGTAGAGATACAAAATGAAAATCTGCATACCTCAAAAGCTTTGTCTCTCTTCCAAGCACCATCTTTCCAATCATCAATTGAAGACTATTCCAAAAGTGGGTCTATGCTCTCCCCCTCTAAGATATTATATATGTTTGAAGTAGTGTTCAAACATTTTATGTTTGACTTCAAAAGGCAAGATTGCTGAATTAAGTCTACTTAAAATTAGTACATGTTCACATTAAAAAAAAAAAAATCTAGTACATGTTGATTCCTTGCAAATATGAATTTACAATCATCTCCTCTTCTTAAAGCTCTAACAACCATGAATAGCTAAGAAAGAGAAAATTTGAAATAAGATGAAGAAAAATATCCATGTCAATCCATTATATCATATCAACTTCCCATCTCAAAGTTTTATTGCTTTTGATTGTCCCTATCTTTCAATTAAAAAGAGTTGATCCTAACTATGAAAGCAAAACATTATGCATGGTTCCAGAATCATCTTTTTAACAAAAATAAGTTTCATTATTCATCATTTCAAGCTTAATATCTAAACAAATTAAGCTCATAATCTTAAAGCAAAACAACTCCAAATGTTATGCCTACTCCAAATTTCATTTTTCTAATCTATCATTCCTTGTTATCATTAACATAAAAGAAAAGAAATTAATGCAAAACCTCTGTAATGGATTTTGATTTTGAAGCAAGATTGAATAATAAAGTAAAAACATGAGTTTGAACATTCTTTATTCAAGGAAAAGAAAACAATTCAAAACCAACTGAGATGGACTTATGTTCATATGTTATAAATTTTAGAGTCATGAATTGTAAATTATGTTGAACACTAATATATTTCAAATCAATCTAATTTTTATATCCATTTGGTATATAAGCAAGATACATAATTTGAAAAAAAAAAGTGATAATTATATAGTTTTAACTCATCAAGATATCAACTTCTTATTTTAAATGAAAAAAAAATCAAATACAAATTATTCTTTTATTATGAAAATCATATGCTTTTCAATTATGAAATGTAAGAAACAATAATATCCCTTTTCTTCATCAATTTGTTTTGTTCAGTCATGTCTATAGACTTAACCATATCAACGATAACTTCTGAAGTTTGCCAAATTAATGATCTCCAAGCCAAATTAGAAAGCAAGGATAGTTTTCCCATTAACTAACTTAATAAAGGCAGAACCTCCAAATCCACCCTTAAAAAATATCAGTAGGGACAGATCCATCCCTCACAAAAATGAAAGGACAAATTGTCCCTTCAAATCATAAATCAAGACAAATCACTCTTTTTTTAAGGAAAAACATTAGAATTCTATTTGCTACGTCAGCATTTTTTAACAGAAAACGTTAAAAAAGGAGTAATTTGTCTTGATTTATGATTTGGAGGGGCAATTTGTCCCTCCATTTTTTTGAGGGGTGAATCTGTCCCTATTGATATTTTTTAGTGGTGGATTTGGGGGTTTTGCCCTTAATAAATTCATAAGTTGGAATCATTCGCCATTGTAAGTTTCATGAAATGGATAACATTGGGTATTAAAAAAATATACCTTTGAAAGAGAAATGCCCAATACATCTTCACAAACAGTGGCCAAAATCTAAGTTTCCTTTATTGTCCTCTTTCCTAATTTGTGTTGTAAAACATTTTGAACGTCGAAATAAGGCTCCACTTACTAAACAATTTCAGCTACATACAACAATTATGCATCAAGCATTATGGTCTATGATAACAAAATCAAAATTGGAAATTAAAAAAAAAAAATTAACAAATCCCAACCATCTAAGTTGAAAATCCCATAT